CTCTCCCTGGCTGTCCCCACTGGGATGGCACCCAGCACTTCAAACTCAACCATTGTCAGCAGAACTCATCGCCTTCCCCACACCCTGTTTCTCGCCGTTGGCACCACCATCTACTTGGTGGCCCAAGGCAGGGACCCAGTGCTCCTCCACCTTCATCCACTTAGCACCCACATGGTCCTGATTTGGCCCCTGAAGTTCTCATTTGTCTGCCCGCCTTTTTCCATCCCTGTGGCCGTGATTTCAGCACAGCCTCCCATAGTCCCCCCTTCAATGGTGCCCATTCCCTCCTAAGCCAGAGCCCCCACCCATCAGTTGTGCACACAGGAGAAATGCAAATCGGGGTGCATATATCTTTACAAATTAGTATGTGTGCGTGTTTTTGGATAAATGCCCAGAAGTGAGATTGCTGGGTCATACGGTAGTTCTATTTTTAGTTTTTTGAGGAATCTCCATACTGGTTTCAATACTGGCTGCACCAATTTGCACAGTGCACAGGGGTTCCCTCTTCTCCACATCCTCGCCATATTATACTAAGTGAAATAAGTCAGGCAGAAAAAGGTGCTGTATAGTTTCACTTATATGGAATATAAAACACACACACAAATAAACAAGCAAAACAAAAACAGACTCACACAGAGACCAAAGGGATGGTTACCAGAAGGGAGGGGGAGATGAGTGAAAAGGGAAAGGGGAATAGAGTCAGTTTGGTGATAAGTTTCCATGGTGACAGGCGATTACTAGAATTAGAGGGGTGATCACATTATAAGGTATAAAAATGTCAAATCACTATATAGTAAACCTGAAACTAATATAACTTTGAAACTATTATAATATTGTTTACCAACTGCACTTAAGTTAAAAATAAATAAATACAAATAAAATTTAAAAGCAATGCAAATAGGATTATGCCATTCTCCTGCTTGAAACTGCCCTCCTGAGCAAACCAAACCCGCCGGTGGGACATGCAGCACCCTCGCAATCTGCTCCTCCAGCTTCCTCAGTGTCAACTCCTGCTGGCCCCATCTCTGCATTCTTCCCCACAGGCAGACTCAGCTACTCTCTGTTCCTCCAGCTCATGCTCTTGCACCGCTTCCAGCCTTTAAATGAACTTGAAACATCCCTGTGCTGGAGCTTACCTCTTTCACTTCCTTCCTGTGGCTGAAAAGTCACTTCTCCAGTTGCTCGTTCGGACCTCTGAAGGAAGGGTGGCCTGACCCACCTTCCCCACTGAGGGAGCCCCTGAATCTCCTATTGTAATTGTTCCCTCGACCACACCTCTGCTCTAGAAGCAGCTCCTGAGGTCAGGGACATGTCTGTGACCTAGCACAGCACTTGGCACACAGAAGCCCTTCAAAGAGTATTTGTCAGATGACACTTTGTTATTAGGAAACGAATGTGATTAATTATATGAACAGACTTCCTGAGAGTAAATCATCTCCAAACCCCTGGGGTAAACCCTGCCCATCATGGTGGGTGTTTCTCCTTAAGTGTTATTGATTTTCACATCTACTTGTAGAAGTGACACAGCCTGTGCTCTGTCTTGGACATGCTACCTTTGAGTGTAGGAATCACGCTGGTTATACAAATAAACTTGTTGGGTTTCAAAATTTGTAAATATGTACCTGTGTATGTTCTGAAACAGTTTATATGACATTGTATTATCCTTGCTTAACAAGTCCTTGCAAAAGAATGCACTGGCATGAAGAGATGAGCTGACTATTTAGGGGTAATTTTACAAAAACTTTGAAAACAGTGAAGAACTTGAGTTCCCTCCGTGGTTATGGAATTTACCATGAAGATATTTCTACATTCTTTGGAGTCCCCTTTGCAATCTTCTCATTTCCCCAGGAAAGCCTTGATCTTCCAGGATCTCCAGGTCTCTGACCCAAAGATCCTCAAATTCTCACCTCAGGTTTGACTCTCTTCTGCAAATGTCAGCCTGTGACCACAGAGCCTGCCAGCCTCAGTTAAGGAAAAAGAACCACAAGAAGAAAATGCTTTGGGTGGGGTAAGTGAGCACAGCGAGAGCCAAGGAGTAGCTTTGTTCAGTTGAGTGACCAATACTGCAAAGGAGACGGACGTTTTCTAAGCCAAATGAGAGCCAAAGCTCTGTCAGCACCGGTAAGCAATGAACCATGGGCAATTTCCAGATTGTTCTCTTTAATCAACATGAGAGCAACCTGGGGGAAACAGTCTGCCACCTGGTATACACACCAGTGAGTGCTTCTTCTCCCCTTTCTACCCCCAGGACCCAAAGTTTCCCATTTTTGTGTGTCCAGTGGCAGAAAGAAGGGGAAGGGGCTATAACTGGGCCCATCTCTCATTCTGAAGACCTGAGAATTCCTCAGACACAGGAGGGTCCTGGTGGAGGGGCCCCGGGCTAGGACTGGAAGGGCTGGAAGGACCAGACCTGGGGAGAGGAAGGAATAGAGGGGAAAGAGAGAACATGTTGATGGCTACTCCACTGAGACAAGGGAAAGTCCCAAAGGACATTCTAAAGACCCCTGCCTGTGAATGGAGGCTGGACTGGATTGCCGGACATGGGCCTGGCCCAGGCTTCCCTTCCCTGCGTCTGTGTGTCTAGAATGCTCCTCCATGAGCCTGCGCACAAGGCTGAGCACCTCTCACAGCTTGAACCTACGAAGGCAGGTGTGCATACCCCTCCCCACTGGTCCCCTAAGGGCTTCACAGTGACCAGGCGGGGGACGGCCCGAGGGGAGCTCTCCCGCAGCTGCCCGGTGCCCACGGCTCCGATGCTTCCTCTTCTGCCCACAGAAGCCCCCAGGTGCAGGTTACATGGTAACACACCCACTTAGTTTGGCTTCCTCTCTTTTGTTTCTAGATTAAATATGCTAGAGGTTGGCCTTTTCCAAGGCTCTCTTCTTGATTGACTCTATTGTTTTTATTTTCTAATTTCTTGGCATCTGCTTTTCTTGAGCGCTTTCCTTGGTTTTGCTCTCTTTAGGTTGTGGTCTGGGCCCCTGACAAGTGTTTGAACTCACCTCGAGTTCCTTCTCTCCTGCTCATCCTGAAGAGCACCTACGAGCCTGCCTCCCAGCTGCAGTGCACTGTTCTCCTCAGTTCTCCAAATACTCTCAACCGCAGCTCTGACTTTCTTCCCCCTAAGAGCTGTTTTTGATTTTCAAAGGAGTTGGATCTTCCATTTATACACTCTTCTTCTCCCCTGGATTTGGGGCACTGAGTCAGAGCAGAGAGCCCAGACAGTTTTTGCTGTATAAAAGTCACTGACATTTTCTTTATGACCTAAAGTACTTTTGTAATTTTTAAGTGTCCTATGACCCCTCAAAAAGAAAGCAGGCTTCTTTCTGTAGGGCAAGGAAAAAGTTATATAACTACTAATTTAACTTTATTCATTGTATCATTTGAAACTTTGAAGCCTATTAAAATGTAATGTGCTGAAGGTCTTGGAAAGGTCTGGAATACGGCCGGTTAGGTTTTCACCAACCTCTTCTTGTTCTGATGTAGGCGCTGGTAGATGTTATGCTCCCTGTGGGTCTGTGACTGGTGCTCTTGCTGTGGCTGCTTCCCCCACTTTGGAGAGACACGCTTCCCAGGGTGAGGACAGTGGGTTCGAGTCCCCTGTTCCTGGAATTCACTGCGCCAAACGAGCCCTTCACTGTCATTTTGATACTGCGAGCCTTGTAAGTTGTATGCAGTGGAATTTTATTTTTTGAGGCTGAGTCTCTCTGTCTTCAAGTGAAGGAGTCAACAACCCTTCACCTAATGACCACACCCGAGGGGCCTGATCTTACTACAATTTGATTTTCAACACACTGAGTAAGGTCGACCATGCACCCTGGAATTCAATGATCAGGGTTGGAAGCCCAACTTCCCAGGAGTCAAATGCCTTTGGCGACTCACCCGGCACGCCACTGTACCGCGTTAAGCCTCAGTGTGCTTCTCTGTGAAATGGGAACCATCAGAGCTCCCCCTCCCGTCTGTCCTGGCATTGAGTGAGTTAACATGTATGAAGTGCTTCTGAGCTGCCTGGCGCAGGGACTTGCTCAGTCCCAGCTGGTAGGTACCACGGGCACCTCTTTTCCTCACATCTCTCCTTGCAGAGCAGCCCCCCTCAGCTCTCTGGGGTGGGGCTCTCTTTTCAGATGCACAAAACATGCATCGACCTGTGCACATTGCTGGGAAAGGTAGATCCAAGTTTGACAGTGAACAGACGTCGGGAGGACAAGACGCCCCGTCGGGGCAGAGGCTGAGCAGCATGAGAAGAGGAGGGCACACTGTTGAAGATATGGGTAGGAGTGGAATGTTAACTGTTTCTCATGCTCTGACATCTGGGGCCTTGCTGACCCCGGGGAACTGCCCTCCCAGGGTGAGCCACGTCCTAGAGAGAGTGAACAACTCGCTATGGAGTGTGCTTCTCAAATGCAAACCAAGCAATCCAGAGTCTAGCCCCCCAAGCACCTCCTTCCTCTGGGTCTCACACTCTGGGCCACTATCCCCTGCCCTGACCAATCCAGGGCCAGGTACTACAGGACCAGAAACAGCCCTATGCCCCACAGACTGCTGAAATTATTCAAACTGGTCAATCCTACTCCTGCTGACCCTGCCTCGCCCATTCCTTCCTGTGGAAACCATAGTAAAGGCTCTCACCCCTGTTTTCCCCTCCCTCCCTCTACCTCCTGACTGACCCGGGTACTGACCCGGTGCTTCCCCGTGTGGCCCTGCATGGTGGGGTCTGTGAGTAGTAAACCATCTTTTCCATGGCAGTCGCCTAATGATCTGTCGGCCTCACCACACCAGAATAATAACAAAACCTACCCTTGAAAACGAGGGGTGAGGGTGAAAAGGGAGCAGGAAAATGGGGGTGGCTCACAAGTTTCTTGTTTCTTACAGGAAGCACCGGGCAGCCAGGAGAGGCAGGGTTGTTTGGGCAGACACAGACACTTTCAAAGACACCCACATCTCACTGGAGGCCCCACCATCCCAAAGCACATGGGGCTCTGGGCTGGGTGCTTGCTCACCTTCCCGTAGCTCAGCAAGATTATCCGCACCAGGACCACATTGATGTGGGCCCCCAAGGACTCATCGTGGTAGATTTCATTGACCTGAAAGACAACCAGGGGGATGTGGTCAGCAGGAATCTCAGGCCAAAGGACCAGCCCTGGCTTTGCAAATGACATCACCATCCAACCAGCCCCCAGGCCAGAACACGTGTACCCCCCACACTCCTTCCTCTTTCCCACAGTTGACACCCAAGCATCACCTCAACTTTGCATCCAGCCGTTTCTTCCTTCTGTGCCACCTGCCTTGCAGCCACCACTTGTCCCTGGATTATGGCCACCCCCTCCTCAGTGCCCTCTCTTGCTAGCACAGGCATTCTCCACCTGGAGCCTGAACAGGACACTGACCTCTCTATTCGCACTAACCTCTAACTGCACATGGCCTTTCCCTCAAAGTTGACGACAGGCTACAAACTCCAGAGGCATGGACAGTCCTGGGACTGTCACCAGTAGAAATCACTTTGTAGTTACTGCTGCTGGTTGTGAAAAGTCATCTACGCTCATCACTATTTGGAAGGGGGGGTCAGTGTAGACCCACCACCTAATCTTATTTCAATGTGTTAATAAAAAACAGACATTATTGCCCGGCTGGTGTGGCTCAGTGGTTGAGTGTTGACCCATGAACCAAGAGGTCACTGGTTTGATTCTCAGTCAGAGCACATGCCCACGTTGCGGGCTTGATCCCTGGTAGGGGGCGTGCAGCAGGCAGCCGAGGCAGCCAATCGATGTTTCTCTCTCATAGATGTTTCTATCTCTCTATCTTTCTCCCTTCCTCTCTCTCTCAAAACCAATACAGACATGTTTTTTAAAATATGTTTAAAAACACACACACCACAAAACCAGACATTACTCTGTGAAAGGTGCTTTTGTAACCATAGTTAACTAAATATTAATAAGAAAGAGAGCAAGGGAAGTCAGACATTGTTAAGAACGGTCATCTGGGGACACTGAGTCTGGCTGCTTCACCAGGAAGCTACAGCTTCACACACACTCCAGGGGACTCCAGCATCGCCCTGCGAAGGATGACCACCCCTCCCTCCCCCGCTGCAGTGCAGACTGCCCGGGAAGCAGAGGAGATAAAGACATGCCCAACGGAAGTCAAATGGTGCAGGGCGAGGTACTTGACCCTAGAGGACGGTCAGGCTACCTGGGACAGGGATCACTGGCTAGGGGGTGGAACCATCAGAATCTGCAAAAGCTTGGGAAGTTGACTGGTTATTTTGAAAAAGCTCAGGTTCCTCCCTGAGAATGCATAATCTCAGATGAAGAAAGAATCTCCCTCTCTCTCTCTTTCCCCCCTCTGACCGGCACTAGCCCTGTTCATTCCTGTTCTCTCCCTCCTGGAACATGCGACCATGCAGGTCTAGTGGCCACTTGGGGCCCGAGGAAGACGGCACAGGCTCCAAAGGACAATGAAGCAGCAGCTCTGAAAGCTGGCCTTTGTCTTGGCCTTGCTGAGGACAAGACTGGACTTTTTCCATGGGGGGATCTCCATCTAGAGACGGGACACTGAAAACCAAGGAGGGGACACCTTTGATTCTGCATCACGAATAAACCCAGCCACGCCACAGTCTCCTGTGAGTGGATCCTGGAAATGCTTTCCTCGCTGTCTCGTGGAACTGCCTGATCTCCACCACCATCGCTTTCTGTGCTCTGTTTTGATACCTGTGGTTGCTTTCCTTTGTGTTTTATCACTGGTTTACTCATGGATTTTATTTTTTGCATTTTAAAACATTATTCTGAGCAAGCGTCTGTGGGCTTCACCAGATGTCATGGCACAAGAAAGGTGAGGGGACCCCACTTCCCATAGCACAGCTAGCATGACCTTCTGGAAATGCTGGTTAGGTTATCTGCCGGTTTGGAGCTGACAGAGCCTTTCTTCCCACTGACCCTACCCCAACACTCTCAATAATCTGCCTGGAACGGCCCCTCACTGCCACCTTTTTTGCTGGCTGAGCAAACCCTCCCCTCCTGGCAACCTAACCTCTGGTCACTTTCTCTCAGAAGGGCCTCCCCAAGTCTGACCTGGTCCTCAGCAAGCACCGGTGTCCATTACTTCTGGAGCTCTTTGTGTCCCCCACAAATGTGAGCTGCACGGTAACCTGTGTTCTCCCCAGCGGCACACAGCAGGTGCTCAGAACCCTGAAAGAATCGATCCACTGAGGCTGTCACTGAGTGGAGGGGCATAAACTAGCTGAACACCCTTCCCTGTGTGCCCTCCAAGCCCAGGGGCTGCTGATGGCCCTCTGTGAGGGCAGAGCGACTCCACTGCCTCAGGCCAGCACTGTGCTGGCTCTGAGCCTCAACTTTTACACTCTCTGTCTGAGCAATGATAATTGCTACCTATAAAAAGTAGAAAGACCCTTTGGGAAATCTGAGAGTTAACAAGGAAAATCAAATATTAATGGATTAAATACTTTCCTGCAGGGAAGGGACGACTGACAGACCTACGGGAGCACAGATGTCGCCAGTACACAAGTCTGGAGAGGGTGGCTTGGCACCCAGCCACCTGCAGCTGACAAGGTGGAGCCCTGGGAGGCTCTTCCGCCTCATCCACACTTTGCCACCCCCTCTGTAAAACAAGTGTAACTGTCCCTACCTCACAGAGCTTCTGAGAATTAAATTTCCATACATGTGAGAAGAAATGACTGAAAATGGTGAAACGCTATATTTGTCACTTCCAGTAGCTCATATTGCCCCGAAGGACCCCTGAGGTCTCAGGGGCAGGGTGCACACCCTTAAAATGCAGGCATCCTTGCTCAGCTTTGAGGGTCAAACTAGATATTTTAACTCTACACCTAGAAAATAGCCCTAAAAGCCAGTTTTTTCTTAAGAGAGAAAGTTTTTTTTGTCCTCAAAGCAGTTGCTTTATCCATCACCAGCAAAACTGGCCAATTTGGCTCCTAGAGTTAGACTGAAAGTTGTGCAAAAACACAGAAGGCAGTGATATAGAGAGGTCCCTCTGCAGCTGGAAGGGCAGGAAGGGGGGTGGGGAGAGGCCAGGCATGACATAAAAACAGCCTTGATATTTGAGGAGATGATGGGAGGAAGAACTTGAACCCCCGCCCCTGCCTGCTGGCTGGGATCTGGGGGACGTGTTTACATTTTGTGGTGGCTTCAGAGAGCAGAAATGGAGGCATGAGAAACTTCAGCAGCAAGAAGCCTGCAAGGGCAGTCAAGCTCCCAGATATGTGTAGGGGATCCAGGGACGGTGAACAGGACAGCTGGGGAACCCAGGTGGGCCTCAGAGAGAGCCCAAGGGTGCTGGTCTGCAGGAGGGGATAGACCTCCTTGCATGGCCGAAGCAGAGAGACTAAACCCTGAGGTGCCTCAAACCAGGTCTGCAGCCTGGAGGGCCACTGCCTGGAGCACAGCACGCAGGGACAGATGTGGGCAGATGCAGGGCAGCAGCACCATGCACACACCCCTACCCAGAGGGAGGAGGGACAGGTGACAAACAGCCTTACTACGGACTGGATGTGTCCCCCAAATTTATATGTTGAAACTCCAACCCCCAATGTAATGGTGTGAATGGCCTCAGGGGCCTTCTCCTACCTTCTCTTCTGGGTCTCTCCTACTACCAGTCCCCTCTACTATCAACACCCTCACTGCTACTGACCCCAGGGCATTTGCCAATGAGGAGGCCAGGCCACTGGTCAGGCTGGCAGCCAAACCTGCTCCCTTAACCCTACCCACCCTGGTAGGCCTGAACTGTGGGGATCCTTTCACTGATTTCTGCCATAGATAGGAAGCCTCTGCCCCTTCCACATGGGGACATGACTCCTCTTAGGGAGGCAGGGCTTCCGGCCAGCAGTGCCTTGGCCTCATTCTATGATACTCATACCTCCCAGGGGCTGCTGGGCCTTTGGGGTGGTCCCCCTGAGGTCAGGCCCCAGAAGCCCCCTCCCAGAGGACAGGACCCCCATTGTGACCATTGGCCGGGGGAGAGTTCTTGCTTGTTGGTGTGGTGTGACAGAGACCCCAAACTGGCAAAGAGGTTCCCCTTTGGTGCTGGCTCCCTGTCCCCACACTGTGCTGAGTAGAGGGTCCCACTACCCTTATCCTCTGCTGGCTTGAGTGGCCCTGCCCTGGTCCCCAGAGCCATGCCAACTTTCCAGGGGGCTGTAAAATTACCAGCTGCCTCCCTCTCCCCACAAGATGCTGCTCAGATGCTACTGAAGCAGGAAGCCTGCGGCGCCCATGTGGGCGTGAGAACCACTGGGAATAATGCATGAAATTCCCAATAAAACACTCACATCCTTAATAGGGACACAGCTACAACATTTCTGCTGACCAAAGAGCTGACAGACATGGCAAAAGGAGCAACTGAAGACAGAGGATGGTCTCCAAACATCTCCCTCACATCCTTCCTCCTCCCTGTACCCCCACCTCACCTCACCTCCCAGACAGGCATGCAAGTGGCAGGGCTACTGAGTGCCTGCCCACCTCCTCTCTTGCTCACAAAGCCCACACACCATTCGTCACAACTCAGTCACCACTTAGAGCAGATCTGCCCTCTTTCCTCTGTCTGAAACCCTCAAGGGCTCCCCAATGCCTCCAGGAACAGGCCCTTGAGGCCCCTTCTAGGTTGGCTTGGCTGGCTTTTCTGTGATCCACATCAGCTACTTTCTTCCAAGAACTCTCAGTCCCAACAGCTCTCCCTTCCTGAAGCCTGGCTGCCTCTCCTGCTGCTTCTGCAAAGGCTCATGCCTAGAATTCCCTCCTTTCTCCTCCAGCCCCTGAATTCTTGAAATATCTGAAGAGCATTTAAAGAAATAAAGTCAAAGTAATAAATGCATTTCAAAGGAGCAGGGCAGTTACTCCCCTGTTTAACCCGCTACCCCCACTCCAACTACAACTGGAAGGTCTTCCCACTGCAACTGGAATGCAGTCAAAACCTTGCTGCCTCTTCTCAGGTTGGCCCAGTCTGCCCTGGGTTCCTTGCACAGGGAGCTCATTCCCATCTCAGGGCCTTTGCACTTGCTGTGCCCTCTGGCTTTTCATGTTCTTTCCCCAGCATAACTGTCCCCTGCTCAAAGCAAGCC